CACACACACACACACACACACACTCACTCACACACACTCACTCACTCACTCACACACACACACACACACACACTCACTCAAAAGAGTAGCCTACGTAATTTTTCTTCACAAAACGAGTACATACTTTTAGGCGAATTGGGACTCCGCCTCAGACTTTCCTCTGACTGCTCCGGGGAAAAGATTCAAAGCTTCGAGAGTGTCGAAAATGTCAAAAATAAAGCTGCCAAAAGCCTGTGACAGGTAAAGGTGAATCGCGCACGTGATTGGACAGAAAGTGAGGCTAAGTTTGTTTTTGGTCACGTGATCTCTACATTATCAACACAAGGCTCGCGTCATCTGTCACGCCCATTATCCTCCGGTGCCTCGGCTCGAATGTCACTAAGTAACTTCCACACGAGATGAAAGGAGCGGCGCGCGGAGCGGGAGCAATGCTAGGCGTAGAGTAGAGTAGAGTAGAGTAGAGTAGAGTAGAGTAGAGTAGAGAAGAGAAGAGAAGAGAAGAGAAGAGAAGAGAAGAGAAGAGAAGAGAAGAGAAGAGAAGAGAAGAGAAGAGAAGAGAAGAGAAACTTCACCTAAAGTATCGATCCGATACCAATACTGGCGTTGATTCCGACTGATCCTCCCACACCTGTCGTGAAGCTTCAGACGAGCCAGTAAGCTGCTGGATTCACTCTTATGAGTAAGTTAATGTAACATTTTTATTCCGAATCGGACTGATTTCACTCGAGACGATTCCAGATCCGCTGCGGAGAGAGAGGGACATCTTTATTCTGACGCTGTTCTCTGCTGACAGATGATCCGATGGTGAGAGTATTTAACACCGGCCTCTCAGCACTCGAGCATTTCTCACGACACACTCCTCTGAGAGAGCTGACCCGATGGATCCATGTCGAGACCCCGTCTTCTCCGAGCAGGACTGTCTGGATTTATACACATCCCTCTCTGACTCCGCAGCCGAGCAGAGCGAGCAGGAGCAGGAGCTGGAGACCGAGCAGAGCGCTGCAGGATCCGAGCTGAAGCGTGCTGTCACTCACACGGTACTGTGCTGCTGACTGAGCTTGGAGTTTAAAATGTTAAACCCTCTAACTCTAGCACTCTCTATTCTAATTCTATTCTTTAAAAAAACAGTCTTGCACTCTATTCATTTACTAACTGCTTGTCTTCTTTAAAAAAAAACACTAGCTTTATTCTTTTTGTATTCTATTTGTTTTCTTTTTATTAATTATACAATTAGCAAAAGCATAAAAGGCCTCTAACACTAGCTTGCTCTATTCTTTTTCTATTCTATCTGTTTTCTTTTTATTTATTATATAATAAAAGAAAACCTTGCTGCGTGTACTGTGTTAAGCTAGCTGAGACTTGTTATAGCACTTGTGTATCATTGCTCTTTTGCTGGATTTGATTGCTTCTGTTGTCCTCTTCTGTAAGTCGCTTTGGATAAAAGCATCTACTAAATGTAATGTAAATGTAAGTTTGGAGGATTATACCAGAAAAAAGACCAGGGGTCACCAGACTGGGTCCTGGAGGGCCGGTGTCCTAATCAAACACACCTGAACTCTGCAGGGCCCCTGCTTTAGACTGAACATAGATAGACTTGGGCTCTTAGCTAAACCTTTTCTTAAATTTTGAAAAGTTTACTAATGGATATTTTTTTAAATAACAGACATTTCTGGGTCATAGCACTAGAATGAATACAGTTAATAAATAATTATGATTAACCGCCTATTAATTGCTGAACACAGACACGCACGCTTGTGTAATTCAGGCTGTGGCTGGCGCTCTGTCCATCACTCTGTATCTTACTAATAGATTATGAATTTGTGTTTTTGCAGGACGCTTGGAGCATCACTTTAATTGATTCCGCACAAGGCAGTAACAGCAGAACTGCATCGCTCTGCGTGTCAACATCGCAGTAAGATCATATTAATCATAATAATGTGCCTCTGTGGCTGTCGAATGTCATGCATGTGCACTGAATTCACTTGTACATTTAACACTGTAAATAATTCATGTGAACTTTAATTTACACTCCAGAATATTTAGTAGACATGGATATGTAGCTCACTGCTCCAGTATGAATAACTGAGCTGCATGCATGTGAGCGTTTATGTGACTGACGTCCCCATTCCTGCTTGAATGCTGTCTTCTGACAGACTGCTCTCAAAATACAGGCTCAATCGTGACAAGGTTGACTCGAGCGTGGTGTGGGCCCGCGTGGCTCCTGTGCACGTGTCTCTCCTGGAGTCCGCTGAACTTCTCTTCAATGTGTCTGTTCCCTGGCTGCCAGTGGAACTGCCGTACAGAAGCAGATGTAAGTATTACAGATGATATACATCAGGTTTGAGCTTTAAGCACTTTATTTTCACATTATTTTCTCAGTGAACAGCACAGCCCAGGAGCTGATGGAGGCGGTTCTGGTGACTCTAGATCATTCTGCCTCTGTCAGTGGACAGTACCTGATGAAACTCTGCGACTCAGAGGAGTATCTCAGAAGGTAATTTCACCTGCCAGTAGTGGATCAGATGTTCTTGTTGCTGCTGAACATTAATGGAAATACTCTCTGTCGTTGTTTTGTCTTGCCTCGTCCAGCGATGAAATCCTGGGATTATATGAACGCATCCAGGTGTATCAGAAGTTTGCTTTGGATGTTCCAGTGAGGATGGTGCTCAAGGACTCCGCTGACAAAACACCGACACGACATGTACGGCATTGAATTACTGTGGCTGTGAGACAGTTTCTCGTTTGAAGAAGGTCATTTTGTTATCAGATTGCATGTTTCTGTAGGAGGAAGACGACCGCCAGATGTTTCATTTTAATCAAGTCCTCGCTTCTGCTTGTGCATTCAGCACTTTAAGGTTTGCTTGCTTCTGTACTACGGAAGAATAAGGCTGACAAAATTCCATTTGCAATGTAAGATGTCAGTGTACAGTAGTATTGTATTTGAATGTACATTCCCCATACACGTGTGCAACATCTGGTGCATTTTATTTTTGAAATTGAAATATAATTTGGATGTGTTATGATTTGCAATATTTAAATTGGTTGTGTATTAGCTATGATGAGGGGATTGACAGGCGGGGACGTAAATGTAATCTAATGCATTTTCTAACCCACATAGAATTTTGTTGCATTCGTCACAAAATGAAAACAGAACTGACAAGTTCAAGTTTTGCTTAGAATGTTGCTGGAAATGTACTGAAAATCATGCCACTTTTTATATATTACATTTCAAATTGAATTTTGCCAGCGTTATGCCTTTATATCTCTCCTGACCTATTTGTGTACTTATAGTTTTTGTTCTTGATGGTATAGTCAAGTGCCAACATACTGAATCTCCTTTGTTCTCTTAGGTCGGGTCTGCAGGAGAAACTGTGCATCTACAGCCAGGCAGTAAACAAGCTCTTGAGAAGCTGGGTTTGTGTTTCACTGAAATTAATCTGAAAGAAGGAAATGCATGTGCATGACTGGAATGCTTCTATACATGTGAACTTTACTCTGAATGATCTGCATGTCATTGCATGGCTTCAGTAAAGACGTAATGACTGACTGACAGGGTTTGTGTTTGGTATGTCAGTGTGATGGCGGTGTGAGGGAGGTTGTGGAGAGCGTTCATGCCGTGTGTGAACAGCTGTGTGGCGTCACTACAGCAGATCTGGAGGACGACGTCGGGCGGATCCAGTGCTACGCTCCAGTCACACTGGTACAACACCCCGCACGTGCTTTTGAATGGGTGTTTAATAAGAAAGATTAAATATAATGTTCTTTTCCCTAGACTCCAGTCGAAATGTGTGACTGTGAAACTGGTGAGTCTTTATACTAAAGTCAAGTCTCAGGGCTTGATTTTGCATGTCTGTTCTGCTTGAGTGGAAGCTCAAGACACACATTAGCTGTTTGCTCTATAACAGCAGTGTCGTTTTCAGTGATGTGCATGCATTGTAAGTGTAAAGTCTGCATGTTTCAGCTGTAGTCATGCTCCATCACGCTCTGCTGAAGCTGCTCCACATTTTCTTCACAAACTTTGATTTGGACTTCAGAGGACAGGAGGACCATCCGAATCCACCAGCAGCAGACGTCAAGCACAGCGGCTGCATGCTGCAAGTCAACCTGACGTGCCTCTACAGACTGCTGCCGGGCTGGATAAACAGGTACGACCAGATGTTTAACACTTCTGAGAAACCCGGTCCTCAGAGCATAGCTGTGAGTGCAGAACAGTGTGGTGAAAATCTGCCGTAGCTCTCAAATCTCATTCAAAACAATCCTGTATATCCGTTCTGAGACGGGAGAACCAATGGTTTTAGCAGCACTGATGTGAAGTCCAGGTTTGAATGTGCACAAGCACAAATGAGAGTTGAGAGATGCAGTGGAAGATTTTCAGTAAAGGGCGACTTGGATTTCAAAGAATCTCTATTTGTGTTTCACAGATGAAAGAAAGTCAAGGGTTTGAGGATGAGGAAATGGTTAATGGGTGAACTGGTTCTGTGATAATGTTTCCTGACGCATGTGCACCACATTTCTTGAGCGGTTTTGTGAGAGCTAAAGTATGAAGTTAATCTTGTTCATAAAGGAAGCCTCTT